TTACTTTCTCATTCCCGACTTTGATGGAAATTACTCAGAATTGCTTAGTTTCATTCAATCATCTCTTCTACTCTTAACCACAACACAACAAGGCCAACATCATTTTCATTTATTTATTGCAGTCGTGCTTTAACTCTTGAATCAGCTTCCAGGCCAATCTCACTTCAGCCCCATTCCCTTTCACCCTTCTAAGCAGAGTAATTATTCTGGACAGCAGCTCTTCCTAAATTACTACATTACTCACAGGCACTTAACAGCTCCCACTGTCACATATAATCCAAACTCCTATGACTAGCACAGGAAGCCCTCTGTGATCTCGCCCTCACCACCCTCATCTTTTGCCAACTTTTGGCTCACTGTGTTCTATGCTATCAAACATATCACACTGCTTTACATCTTTATATCTCTTATCATGCAGCTCTCTCTCTGTGTGAAAAAGAAACATCTTTCCTCAGCTCATTTCCAAACCTAGAAAGCTCTGAGTCCTCTTTCAAGAATCTGTTTAAGTCTGACCTCACCAGCTAGAGATTCTACCTTCCTTTTTTCTGACCCATTCCTCTTTATTCTCTTATTTGTGCTATTGTATCTATCCTACTGAAGGGGTTATTTATTTTTGCCTCAGTGACTAGCCTATGAGCTCTTTGATAGTAGGAACCATGTCTCATTTACCTTGGCTCCTCAGTGCCATGCAAAATGCTTGGCACATAGTTGGTGTTTTATAAACATTTATCACATTGACTTTTCCCAGTTTCTTTAGGGGATCTTTTGACAAGAATCTGTCCTAAAAGGACTTCAGCTTGAAAAGACAAATATTGCAAGAGTTCTTCTTACATTAATTGCTTCGAGTATCATTTTATATTACAGTAACACCTGAAATATCTTTTCTTTTATATCTTTTCTTAGAAAGTCACCTCATTTTGCCTGTTCGAACAAGCCTGGAAACTTTGGTGTTTGTTTTGAAACTGAAAAGTGCCTTAAGAGGCACTTAGTGCACTTGGAAAGGGTTGAGAAGAGACCCACAGAGATGATTAAAGGCTAGAAAACAGACTAAGAGAACGGAAAGGGAAAGCTAAAGGCAATTGGGTAATTGACGTCAAGCATGTGAAGGGCTGATATTAACAAGGAGGGTGATGAGCCCTTCCTGTCCATATCCTTTAAGGGGAGAGCAACAGGAAATGAGGTGAGCTGCAGCAGAGACGATTTGGATTAGATAGAGAGGAACTTTCCTGGCAGAAAACATTGCTATACACTGAAGGACCCAACAGCAACAATACCTTAGTCTTTCTTTCTCTCGCAGTATAGAAACATTGGAAATGCTCCCAACTGTCTAGAATGTTCCATGTGCAACATTACCTAAATGCAAGGATGGAATTGTACAGTTTTAAGGGACCATCTCCAGATGGCACATAGATTTTTGGCACCCAGGGCACACATGGCTTGACAAAGTCTTTTTAACTCTAAAATTTTGGGAAAAGTATCTCAGAAGAACTGAACTCAATTGTTACCTTTTTTCACTAAACATTTACAAGTCCCTTCTCTAGCTCAGTTTGTTTTTTAGGTAGCATCGCAATGACTAAGGCATAGTTTATTCTAATAAAGGAAAGAGCTGATTATCAAACATTCGTATAGGACTGTCAGACCTCAGTGTTCAACATTTGGTCTGTCACTCATACACACACACGTGGACACACACACACGCAATATATACACTACACAGCAGCCACCAAAACTACTTGTATTTTCTCCAAGTAGCACCCGCCTCCTGCTGCTCTAATCTGCAAGCCTGTGAAAATGCTATTTCCTCTACCCGTAGAGCCACTCCTACTTCTTACTTAGAAAACCCCTCATTGTCCTTAAAGGCATAGCTCAAGTGTTACCTCTTCCAAGGTGCCATTTGGTCAAAGCTACCACTCCTTTCATCCTTACTCTAGATTATAACATTGTTTCATGATTCCTGACCATAAGCATTAGAAAAGGACTCAAAGTAACTCTAATAAATGAGAATTTACTGGAAGTATATCAGTAGCTTAACAATAGCTGGAAGAACAGGCTCAGAAATGCCTAAGATGCAAGAAAGGTAGAGGCAAGAAGCAGAAGGCACATTAGCCTCATAGCCAAAAGGATCAGAGAAACTATTTCCTCCATTCTACTGTCAAAGTCCTAGAAGAAGTTCCAATTGGCCAACCCTGGATCACTTGACTGGGCTGACCAGCCTGTGGCTGCTCTAGAGTGAGAGAGGAGGATCGATCCCTTCTAGTTTCCCTGATAAGAACCAGTTACTAGAAATTATCTTCCCACTAACACTCATAAGATGGAGGAAAGGCAGTTTTTCCCAAAAGAAACTGGAATACAATGAAAAAAGCAATTCATGCTAGATAGCTCTCTCTCACACTCATCTCATTGTGGAGCATGAAATCCTTAAATTTTCTGACTGTATTCTCAGCAAATTTGTGTGTTCCCTGAGGGCAAGGTACAGAGACAGTGATCAATGTTGGGTACAGAGACAGTGATCAATAATCGTTTATAGAGCAGACTCCTGATCAATATTCGTTTCTAATGTATGAAGATCAAGACAGTATTCATCTCTGTGCCTGCCAAGTCCAAGTTCAATGCTTTTTCTACTCTCTTATAATGTTAACAGGAGTGATACCATCAGCTTAATCCCAGTTATCAGTTTCTTAACCTAAGAAGCACGTTGGTTTTGTTAATAAATTGAGATAGCTATAGTAAGTCTTAGTTATGGCTGGCAAAAAAAAAAAAAGTCTCAAAATAGTCACAAAATTGAAACTCATGATGTGCAAGTATATTTTTTAAGCATCTGTTTACCTTTGAGTCAAACTATGACATTTGTAAAACTTCTCAGACAATGCTACCCATAATAGACTTTGATTTTTCCAGAGCTAATGGTAACTATAAGAAAACAAAATTATAAGAAAAATAGTACCATAAGGTTGTAAATAAACCCTAAATGTAATAAATAATAAAATAGTACATGAGTGTTTTCATGGTCACCATAAGGAAGGCAAGCAAGACTGGCTTGACAAATCCATTTCAATATCACCAGTGTTCATTGACAGTGTCTACAGCCATTCAAACCTGTGACCCTACACACTTCGTTTAATCCAATTTCAATTTCATTCTGAATCATACTTGGCCCTATACTGAGTATTGCTTTCATTGAGATGAATAAATGCACACTTTGTTCAAAAGAAAAAAGTCTTTGGGAATTCACTGGCAAGTTTTCAAAAGTTCGGGATTTAGATCTTATAGATGACTAAGAGATAAGTTGAACTCTCCTTGGAGATGCATTGTCATGAACATTGAGAATAATAATCAGGTGCTTGACCATGAATTAACAGTGCATTTGCCCTTATGTAATATCTATTGCCCTGGGTATCAAGTCATCAAGGTTATATCAAAGAAAAAAATTAGCTTTGGACTCCAAACTTATATATATCTGTATAAAATTGGCTCAGGAATTATGGTCTGAGTCCTTTTTCAATAAATATCTCACATGAAGCTTGCATATTGTCCTCATTTTCTATATCACTAAAAAATACAAGTTACATAACTAGAGTTCTATATATTCAATTGGCTGGATTACATTAGATGTTTGGGGAAATAATGTTTGCTAATAATAAGCAGTAAAATATTAGTGTTATGTAGAGTCTTATTTTGAAGGGCTTGTTAATCCAGATACATTTTAAATTCTAACTTAAGATCAAACTGGTATATGATAGTAATTTATATATGATTATATCATGATTGCCCCTTTCCATCCCATAGTATTCCACTTAAAATTCACTAAAAAGGCAGGAGAGTTAGGGCTCACTGGTCCAAATCTGGATTTACAGGTTAGCTGCCAAGTCCTGTGAAGGACTTGAAAGAAACTATCAACTACCCTGAAAGTATGTTGAAACTGCTTTTGCTGATGAGAATCTATGATGGTGGACCAGTTCAGCAACCCTGAATTGTTTTTACTGCAGTTGTGGATTACCTGTGGTTTCAATGGACTACTGTGTATGCTTTGTTTATTTTATCTCTTCTTCCTTTTGGAGAAACAGCTGGAGAACAGACATCCTGCTGCTAGGAGCCTGGGGTCTTGGAATATTAACAGGAAGCCACATAAGCATCTTCATTACTTCACCTGTGGCATAAATGGCAGAAGGAATGGAGCCTGTCAGGAGGAATTGATTTAAAACAGAATGAAGCAGTTTGTGGACCATATGTTTGAACATCCAAGTAACTGCCACTAGCCTAATAAATTGGCTTCCTTCAAGTAGAGTTCAACCAGAGGGAAGAGAAAAAGTCAGTTTCCTATAGAAAGGAATAAAGGCAGGCCTCAGTAGCCTGTGGCAATAAATGGAATAAAATAGTTGGTGCATTAGACCAAGAAGTTGTATCACATAATTTGTATCAGCTGCTTTTAGCTTTTAACAAAAGATGTGGGAGTAGATGGTAGAAATATGTGGATGGGAGAGGAGGAAGCTAATAGCCTTACAAGATACTTTCATGTGTTTTCCATCATGTATAATTACTCATCCTAAGGCAAGAGAGTATTGCATAAGGATCATTCCAAATATCTTCTGAATTTGTGTGTGTGTGTGTGTTTTGGGGGGTGCATAGAGAGGAGGAAAAGTGAATATAAAACATCAATGTCCTGTTCTCCAAATAAAGATACAGGGAAGAAATATTATATGATCTAAAACTCTTAATGCAATGTTTACATCACATGGGTCAGAAATATTCCCGGAAGTGGAATTCCCTGGTACAGATGCACCTTCCCCTCTGTAGGTTGAAGATATATATATATAAAAGAAGAAGAGGAAGAGGAAGAGGAAGAAAAAGAAGAAAGAAGAGGAAGAGGAAGAGGAAGAAGAAAAAGAAGGAGGAGGAGGAGGAGAAGGAGAAGGAGAAGAAAGAGAAGGAGAAGGAGAAGAGGAAGAAGAGGAAGAAGAAGAAGAAGAAGAGGAAGAAGAGGAAGAAGAAGAAGAATCTGATCGTCAGGTAGGATGATCCTTACCTGTTCCTCCTTTAGAAGGCAAATTGGAAAGTGATGATTGGAGTTCGCATGATTTGTGATTATTGTTTCTGTGTAGTCAGGGCTCGCAACACCCTGATTGCTCTTATCTGATTCTTCCTGGGGAAAAAAAAAAGGAAAAAAATTTTTTGGAAAAAAATCCATTTCCCTTTTAAACATGAAAATGTATTACTGAACAGAAAGACAAAAGAGGGAATAATAATTTCAACATTCATTTTTGAGCACACACTGGCACCTTCATTCTACTGTACCTAGTAAACATTTATATACCTATGGCATATTGAATTCCTTAGGGCCTTACATGCAGTCAGTCTAACTTTGCTAAAATGCACTTAAGAAAGAGAATGCAGAAGCACAAATTCAGACAGCAGTACTCATCATCATACCATGCAATCACTATGAGTCCATGAATCAGATCTAGGCATAAATCCCAGCTATCCCACTTTTAGTTACATGAACTTGAATTAGTTACTGTATTTTCCTGAATACTAGAAATTCCTCCATTTTCCCAAAGAGAAGGTTGAAAACTTTTTCTATCTACTGGAATTATATAAACTTTCAGGAATATAAATGAAAAAATCAAATGTCTACTTATAAAATTTTATTTATTTAGTCATATAAATACTTAAAATCATAGAAACATCAATTCAGAAAGAGTTTTGTCACTCTCACATTTCATGAAAGAGTTTTCTTCAAATTCTTAATATGCAGCATTGGCATCAGTTCATCTGACATCATCTTCATTTCTGGATGGGTTGTTTGATGCTGTCATTAGAAATTTTATTCCAAACAACAATTACCCATTCACATAACATTAAAACAATTGCTTTGTTCATTCATCTTGTAGGTGAATATTTGTACTATTGTGTTCTCTTAACATAATAAGTGATATCTGGCTTTTGACAGGCCTCTTTTTAAAGGCTGTTTATGATGACATCCAAACCTTGCAATTGTGAAGTCACCACTCCACTCCCACCCATCACAAGAATAACAAATAAATCTCTGTCAAATTCCTTTTCCTCCTTTTTTAGAGATTCTTCAGGTGATTTGTAAAAGCTTTGGAGACCAAAATTTTCTGAGATCATCTCAGGATTATGTAGCTTTAGAAGTTGAAGAAGTGCCACATAATACAAGAGACTTTATAAAGATGAAACTAAAGGTGATTCTCTCCTTTTTGAGGGTAGGTTTGGAAACTATTTCATCCTATATTTTAGTAAGTACAGTACTTAATCTCTTGAAGTGTGTTTACTCCATTGTAGGACAGAGCCAATAATAGTACTTTGGTCACAAATGGTGGTGAAGGTTAAATAAGATGACGCACTGCAGTAACATCTAGCACAGTGCTGTGTGCCTGGGAAAAAACAGACATTACCAATTGCTACTGCCCCAATCTGGAGTTCCACAAATTAAAAATAGAAAACCTAAAGAGTTATGTCCAAAACAAAGCCCACAAAAATCTAAAATGAAGTAGATGTGGACAGGTTAAAGGAACTTGGAATATTCTTCCAAGAGGAAAAAAGAAAGAGTAATATAATAAATAAATTTCTAAACAGAAAGGATTCAAACAAAGAATAATAAGTATTTCTAATCTTTTTCTTTACTCAATAAAATGGTCATATTATGCATCCAAATTACAACATAAAAGACTTTAAAAAAACAGATAATTTTGGTATAGTTTTGTCTAAAGGCAGTATTATCGAAGGAATAATATTTTAAGGTCCCGATTAAACTGTTTCAATAAACCAAGATGAGCTACTATGAAGTGAAGCATAGAAATGTAGTGCCAGTAGTACAGCATGTAAACCAGGGCAGGGATGGAGACTAAAGAGATGGCATTATTTGCTGAGTACTTTGGGTATTGAGCAAATTTATATTTTGGTGTTTCTCATCAAGGGATAGCTTTCCTTCCAGAGACTGCACTACCATTGGAAAAAGCATAAACCTTGGAACTCCAAAGACCTGAGTTCGAGTCTCAGCTTTTCTTCTTACTATAACTTTGGAGAAGCTTCTTAAACCCCCGGATCTTATGTTTCATCATCTTCAAACAGTGCATAAAAACATAAATGTTACAAGGCTATAACAAGGATTCAGTGAAATGTTTATGACATGGCTAAGTATGTGGCACATTGAATATTTCAAGTGTTGCTTCTCTTGTCCCTCAAATTATGCTTCTGAATATATTCCAGTTTTCAGAAGCTGAAGTTATCATAAAGCATTGTCAGCTGTGACTCTCACAACTGAGGGAGACTCACCCTTCAGTGTATAACAAAGCCACATCATGGCCTGATTTAGTTTTAAATAACAAATTCCTCAAACATGGGATTGGACAGAAGTAAACAGACTTTTGCTGAGTGTATGGAGTTGTTATAAAGCTTTCCATTCAGCAGTTGTTCTGAGAATGGTTCTGCTGCTTAGACATACTCTTAAAGGGGACCTCATCCTTGGTCACAGGACTTTCTTATAGTTGTTATAAATGTCTCTACAGCCTTCTTTTAATCCAGGTACGAAAGGTTTGAAACGCTTTTAAACACTTTAGCAAGGTATATTAATTAGAACAAGGTTTAGCTGACATAATAAAAGCACCCAAAATGCAGTAACTTAAGTCAGAAATTACTTTTTTTGCACATAGCAGTTCAGAGGGAAGTGGTGCTGGGCTAGTAGGACAGGTTTGCCATCCTCCAGACATGGCTTCCATCTCTGGATTCTAGGGAACTCCCATGCAATGAGAGGAGAGCCAGGAAGCACTCCACATACCTTTCTAGGTGCATGACCTATAAGTCATGCATACTTCAGATTACAACTCATTGGCCAAAATTTAGTCACATGTCCATACCAGCTACAAGGGATACTGGAAGCCTCATGCTAGAAAGCTATGTGCCCAGTAAAAGCCCAAGAAGAGAGAGATAATGAATGTTGGGGTTGGACCAACATAAAATTATGTTGATGTTCTTCATTAAATTAAGGAGGGAAAGTTGTCTGGGTGGTTTAACACTTTATTAAAAGACCACCTAGTTTTGGAAAGTACAAACAATATACCTTTAACCTGAAACTTGATGTGGTAAATATGCATAACATGCAATGAATAAAGACCCTAGGAACATAAATTGAGGCAGTAAGTACAAACCTTCCTGTTTATATAACAAAAACTTGAGTCATTGAGTCTTACTGAGGCCAAGCTACATCTGGGAAAATCTGAATATGCTGACCCAGAAAAGAGTTGGAGTAGAGCTGTACTGGAACAATGACAGCACTTAGCCTCAATCTTTTAGAAATTCAAAAGTTATGGGGAGGGATCCCTGAACAAGCCTGAGCAAGCCTAGACAACTCCAAAAGAAGAAAAATCCCCACTCTGACACAGAGTTTATGGTTTATGAAACATCAGTTCAGATGAAGTGACAACACCCCCATTTGACTGTGAGAGAATATCTCTTTGGCCAAAGAATAGTAAATTTCCATTTGTAGTCAAGAATAGGTTTACCAGATGTCATTTTGCCAAGTCTTATGGGAATCTTTTCCAACCTATTTGAGAGACTAATATGTTACTTTATTTCATTGTCTGAACTTCACATTTATTTTACTCCAACAGAAAACCAGAATAATTTGTCAATAAATGCTTGTCCATTAGCTTAAAAGAGTTCGTCCTGATCTCATAAATGTTTTTATTAACAAATAATTCTTTTCTCTGAAACTTCACACTTTGCAGAGATTTTTTTCTAATTTTTTTCTAACGAGAACAGAGAATACACAAGAATTTTTAGATCTTCAAGATTTAAAACACACACACACACACACACACACAGAGAAGCACAAGCAAACCAGAGATCAGTCTCAATCACTTATTTAAAATGGATAAAATTAAGAGGAAGTAAATCCCTTGAACTACTTGACAAAGGAATTGGAGAAATTTGCTAAGAAATTAAACAATCACTACCAGTTTTGAAGATTCTTAGGTATAAAAATTTCATTTTCTAGTGAAGAAAATCCAAAAAACTTGACTTGGGCAAATCCCATATGTCTTTGGACTTCAAATTTCTCATTCGTAAAATCAGGAAGTTGAAAGATATTTCTAAGGTATTTTCTGTTAATAGTTCATGAGTTTGTGAAACCACTAGTTAAGTTTTTTTAAAAAAATTCCAACATCACAAATGTCACAGAATTACATTAAATTTTGTTCCTGCTTCACATACAAGTTTAGTGAATGATAAATTTCCCCCAACTATTAGGGGGAAATCCAGATTCAGAAGACATCTAGTAAAGTTAAGATCTATAAAGGAAGAACTAAACTGTTTTCTAGAGAGCTCTCTAGCCTTTAGAGATGTATGTGTCACTTCACTGATTCTTTGGGCCAACAGGGTATTTGGACAAGGTCTGTTCCTTCCAAACTAGGATTATTTATAATTTTTATCCTGCTGCCAGTAAAATATTTATATCGGATGATCTTCCCCCATTCATGTTAGTTTCAAAGGATTAAAGCTAATTATAGCATTGGTCTTGATTACATTTATGCTAACTTAAATCTACCTCAGAATGATATCGCAGTGAAGCCCTGATTCCGGTCTCAACTCTTCCAGCAACGACAATCCATCTGTATTCCTCAGAGCCACCAGAGCTCTTCCTAAAGCACAAGAGATAGCACCTTGGCAACTCAACAAGCTCCACTGCCAGCTATATAAGTTATGCCATGATATCTCACTCATCCATGGCTTTGCAAGTGCTGCATCAAATACCTACAGTGTCAGTTCCAGAGCGTCCTGTGGCCATAAGGAAACATTAGTGCTAATTCTCAAAAGAGCTTTCCTCTAGGCAGAGGCAGTCCAAGAGGCCAGATTCCATGAAATTTTGTGCAAAGAGAAAGCAGCCACCTTCTCTGAGGGGAAGCAGACCTGCCTCAGAGTATGCACTGGATTTCAGGGCAAAAACTATACAGTTGTACCAGGTGGCCAGGACTTTCCTCATCCCCATCCACTTATTGCCTGCCTTGCAAATCTTCATCATCTTTAAAGATTAACTAAAATCTCATTTCTCTGGGAAGATTTCACTGTCTTCAACTCCTCCACAGTGACAGAATTTTTCTCTGTGAGCCCACAGCATCCC